AAAGGAAACTCAGTTTGAATCAAGCCAGAGTCAAGAGTTTAAGTGGAAGACGGATGAATGTAGTCAAACTGATGAAAGTAAAGTAGAAGATGACAAAGACTTAGACAGGATTGAAGAAGATAGTGCTTCAGTGGTCAGGCGATCCAAAAGAACAAAGAAACCAAAGCAGTTTGATGATTATGTGATTTACTTCACTGCAAAGGCAGCTGCGTCATCAATCGGAGTGGGAGATCCAGTATCCGTGACAGAGGCTCTCTCGGGTCCAAATCGTGATCAGTGGAAGTGCGGAATGGAAAAAGGAATGCAGATTTTTAGTGAAAATGGTGCGAATTGGTTGTCGAATTACTAGAAGATTGTGAACCTGTGAAGTGTAAGTGGGTTTTCGAAAGAAAATTAGATTATCTTGATTATATAATTCATAGGGCGAGATTAGTAGCTAAGGGGTTCAGTCAGCGTCCAGGCATTGATTTTGACGAAACTTTTTCTCCAGTTGTTCGTCATTCAACATTAAGATTGTTGTTAGCTTTATCTGTTCAGTTAAACTTAGAGACCTGTCATTTAGATGTTGAAACAGCCTTATTAAACGGGAAATTGGAGGAAAAGGTTTTTATGGAAATGTCAGAAGGTTTTGCTATTGATACAGATAACAGTGATAATGTTACATCCATTTTATGCATTCAGAAACTTGAGTTTCTAACAAACTGACCATACCACACAGTCCCTTACGGCTCTGAGGAATGATTGATTCTCTACAGCCCCCTACGACTCTAAAGATTGTTTCTCCACAGCCCCTTACGACTGTGAGGAATATATCTGATAGACCAGAGCTTCGGAAAGGATACAGTGATAATGTTGTATTAAAATTGAAAAGAGCTGTATGTGGTCTAGAACAGTCCTCACGTGTTTGGTACAAAAAGGTTGAGAATGTACTTACAATGTACAGTTTAATGTATAAGAAATGTGACAGTGAACCTTGCGTTTTTGTAAAAGACGACAATGGTTTTCTTACTATCATAGCAATTTATGATGATGACTTCTTTATTTTATCTAATTCAACCCAGGAAACACAGATTGTGAAAGAGCAATTAGCTAATAAATTTAAGATAAAAGATCTATGTGAAATTCAACAGTGTTAGGAGATGAGAGTTAGAAAAAGTAAAGATGGAAAAGAGATTTTACTGGATCAAGAACAGTATGTAACTCAAATTTTGGAAAAATTTAAAAAAGGGTATTTGCTTTGATAAGAAGGATAATTCTAGTTTGTGTTTCAAAGAATTACCTTATCAGCAGCTTATTCTGATAGGTTATGTGGATTTTGCTAATAATCTAGTTCACAGAAGGTCATATATTGGCTTCATTTTTACATTGTCAGGAGGTGCAGTCTCATGGGAATGTAAGAAACAGCAAACTGTAGCTTTAAGCTATACTGAAGCTGAATACATGGCTATCACAGAAGCTTCAAAGGAGGCTATACATTTTAGGAGTTTATTATCTGAACTTCTGGGCAAATTTATGTGCATCACAATGTTTAATGACAATCAAAGTGCCTAGAAGTTAGTTGTCAATCCAGTTTTTCATAAACGATCTAAGCATATAGACGTACGCTATCATATTATCGGAGAGGTAGTAGCTGCTGAAATAGAGTTGAAGTTCTTGCCTACTGATGAAATGTTAGCAGACGTTTTGACCAAAGCTCTATGTCCTAGCAAACATATGAAGTTTGTGTCAGATATGGGTTTGCTGGATATTTGTCAGATAAGTGGGAATGTTAGAATTGTATCTAACAAATATAGTTGTTTGATGTATTATTTTGTGTTGGTTGCGCCATCTAATGTAAAACTGGCAACGCCACATATTGTAACAGACAGTTGTAGATGAGTTTAATAAAACGTCATAGTCGTGTTAATGTGTTTCGGTTATTATTTACACTTTCCATCGTTATTTCAACACATATAAAGAAAAGAAAGTATTTCTGCCTATTAGCCTTCGTCACTACGGTACAGCCAAGTGCAAAGGATAGACAACACTTGGTTGCAAGAAAGGGATCAAAAACAAACAAACGGATTCACCATCAGGGGCCAATGCGAAACATCCTCAATATGTATTTACCTGACTCAAAGTCAACTTGATTTTCAAAGTTCCATATTGTTAGAATTGTATCTAACAAATATAGTTGTTCGGTGTATTATTTTGTGTTGGTCGCGCCATCTAATGTAAAACTGGCAACTCCACATATTGTAACAGACAGTTGTAGATGAGTTTAATAAAACGTCGTGTCGTCGTTTTATCAAACTCAGAAAAGAAAGTATTTCTGCCTATTAGCCTACGTCACTACGGTACAGCCAAGTGCAAAGGATAGACAACACTTGGTTGCAAGAAAGGGATCAAAAACAAACAAACGGATTCACCATCAGGGGCCAACTACGCCAACTGCGCAGGTTGCTATAGCTGCACCCGTGACTGAGTTGGGAGTTAGTCCTTGTAATCACAAGGTCTCCCAATGATAACACGAAATCGCAGTTGCCCCCTGATGATGAATCCGCGTGTTTGTTTTTGACCCCTTCCTTGCAACCAAGTGTTGTCTATCCTTTGCACTTGGCTGTACCGTACTGATTAAGGCTAAATAGCCAGAATCACATGTCTGCGGTTTGCTCACTTTCAAATGAGTGCTTGTTCAAAAAAAAACCTCTTCATCAATAATACCATTTTCACTCAATATCCCATCTTCCATGTAAAAATATATCGGGTATGCCACTGAACGTTGTTTATAATTGAGATCTTTATGTCCGTGCGATACATATTCAATCCTCTTGCTATTTTCTACAGTGAGATTTGGTGGATTTGGCGATAGAAAAACCGTAGGTTTTCCGTTCGAAGTTACCTTTATTCATGGTCAACTATTTTGCTTGCCGCCAAAGTATGGTGTTACCTTTGGTAATTCATCCAACCTGTCATTTCTGTCACCTATCTGTTTTCTTCCGCAATGAGATGTCAATTATCTTTCCTTTAGGTCAGGGGTCTCCAAACTACGGCCCGCGGGCCAAATCCGGCCCGCTAGTGTCATCAATCCGGCCCGCGACAGCCAATGATTTACTGTCATCAATCTGGTCCACGACAGCCAATGATTACCTAATTGCTGTGATAAGTTGAAGAAGAAAACACAGAATGATAATTACTCGTTTTTTTTTACTTGCAAGGTAAAACTTAACGACAGAAATGATGACAAAGAACACTTAATTTAAGTATCTAAGTTTGAGCATATTAATAACTAACAAATAATTGAAATTATTTACAGTGAAACAAAAACACTAATGAGATTTATGAAATTGTGATTTTCCACCGACAATACTTTGTAGTCGTGGATGAATTTTACTTGTACCAATTATCAAAAGAGATTTAAGATGCTCATCGGTTATTTGAGATCTGTAAACATTCTTTGTGTACTTCATCTTGGAAAACGTTTTCTCACACAAGTAAGTAGTACCAAAAACAGAAAACAACCCAC